TTTGCTGCAGCCTCAGACAGCTCGACTACGCAGGCTTTGACTGGTTTTGAGAGTTCACATGGGAATTACCCTCCGTCCGTTGCTCAGGTGGGCATGGCCCTCCTTTTTGGACTTTGCGATGCGCAGTGCCGGTCGGAGACTGTGCTTAATAAAGGTGCAGGAAGTGCGGTGCAACGAATGGCGACAGTCGTGGAAGGGCTGCGAAATCCGGAGTTGTCATGACGATTGACATTCATGGTTGCAACAAGCAGCGTTACTGTAGGCAACGTAGGGTTACGAGTTGTACAATCTAAGTCCTTTCCCTATCTTCGTTCAGAGTTGTTGTCGGTGCCTCAGAGTCCGGATTTCATATCATACTCTAATTATTTTGCTATAATGTCATACTTTGTACTATCATCTATATATTCTCATTTAACAAAATATGCTATGCTGTACTACTTGGAGGGTCATGGGACTTAGTAAGTAGGGTTATAAGTGGCCATAATTGGGGTTATAAGTAGTTATAAGTATAGTTACCCTAAGTATAACCCTAGTTACTAAGTCCCATGGCCCTTTAAGTACCCGCCCCCGGACTTTGGGAGGGGCTTCTTCGGGCAGTTACCGCCGAAAGCCCTAGCTAGCATGGTTCAAAGAACGACCCGGACCCCAAACCCCAAACCCCTAAGCCGTCAACCCCTAAACCCTAAACCCTAAACCCCTAAACCCTAAACCCTAAATCCCTAAACTCCTAAAACCTAAGCCCTACTATCTTAAGGGTCTCCTGTTTCGGAAACTCTCATATCATAAAGGGGCAGAAACATACAGACTGAACCTGTCTCTCAAGGTTCCCCTGTCACTGACACAACTGTGACATGAAGCCCCTTTCAGCCCCAGTCTAGTAATTCAGACTCCATGTATTATAACCCAACTCTGCAGTAATGAATGCGCCATAAGCCCCTTTGAACCATACACAACTAGTACTCAAGGTATTTTTAGAGTCCTTGGCTACAGCCCCTGAAGGAGAACACCCTTGCCAAGACCTTTTGGGACCACGTGTAAAACCTGGTGAAACCATGCCTGCGCCCGTCCAAAGCCTCCATGTTAATTACCAGCAGTACTCCATAGGGTTCCTAAACATGCCTCTCTACTATCAGGTACCCCTAAACCCCAAACCGCAAACCCTAAACCCTAAACCCTAAACCCTAAACCCCAAACCCTAAACCCTAAACCCTAAACCCCAAACCCTAAACCCTAAACCCCAAACCCTAAACCCTAAACCCCTACTTGTTGCAGCCCAGGGCTCCTTTCTGACGACAATGCGTTATTGCAGCTACAGTACCGGCACGAGCACTACGACGCTGGGAGCGACATCAAGGCCAGCGGTGAGCTGTTTCGGGCTTGCTTCAATGCTTGGAGGATCATGGGACTTAGTAAGTGGGGGGTAATAAGTAGCCATAATTGGGGCTATAAGTAATTATAAGTATAGTTACCCTAATTATAACCCTAGTTACTAAGTCCCATGTTTAAGTGCCTCTGTAAACCGTAGACCCCAAACCTTGCAGTACCTGCGCTGTTAGTCAGGAGGTAGCCTCGACGACGGCAGCCCCCTCGACGACAGCCCCCACGACGGCTATCTCGAGCAGCACGACCTCTTTGCCTCAACTTTTTGAGGAAGATGTTGGTGCAGGTTCCAGCAGCATCCCAGTGCCAGACGTGGCACCCTTCAATGTCGGGAATGTCATCCAAATCTCCGATTCCAATGCAGCTGAGACTAAGGCCTTCACCAACATCACCTCGGCATCAGGTCTCCTTGAGCAACAACAGGCCAGGCGAACTACACACATGGCCGTCCCGAGAAACCTCGTCGTGGACTCACCACTGCCGAACGATTACCTGGTGAACCGGTCAGCAAGAATCAAAGTCTTGCCGGACGAGCCGACAGATGAAACGCAAGACAAGCCATATCGAACCGGACGGCGTTGGCCTTGGCGCAAGAATCCCTGGTGGTACAATTGTCTGAAGCTCCCATGTGTGCTGGCCCTCCTGTTGTTTGTGGACCCTAACAGCGGAAAAACCCGAGGGTATCTTGTCTTTTGCATGAAACCTGCAAGCTCGAACCTCCTCGTAGTATAGCGCCTGATTAACTACCTACATCGTTTTGGGAGTTACTTTGTATAATTAAGGCATAATGGGCCCCAACTCCCTTTTCTAATTATTAAGGCTCCTACATTCTCCAAGCTTGTACTCATCAGCAGGTTCTGCAGCACTCGCTCAGGAAGGCTTTAAACAGCCGTCTGGTCTTAGATATTTTCTGCGTTTGTCAACCCCTCTGGTCTTCAACCAAAATCATCCGAAAACCTTAGGGGTACTTAGAAAAATTTTAAATTTTGGATATGGTAATGCCTAAGAAACAGCTAATATTATAATTTTTGCTAGGGTTCTAAGTTCAGTATAGTGCCGTGGATCCCTAAGACCCAAACCCTGAACAAGCAGGTTTGGCAAAAACGGTTATGGATCCTAGCCGCAACGCTCTGCGACGGGCCCGGCATTGGAGCGCGGTGGCGCTTTCAAGATTCAGAGGCGCATAAGGGTCTTATAGGGTTTTTCTTTGTGCTTAATACCATACTTATAGTATAACTTCCAAGCTTATCATTCGGGCTGACTTCGCCAGGCATCCACCGTTTGCCGGCACTCAAGCGATCGCCTCGATTGAGCAATGCATCTCCACTGCTAAGCAGTGTCTTGCAGACCGCTTTTATTTATTTCAGGACTATACCTTGAATTTTAATGCACTTCCGTTATTTGAGGTATACACAGAAAGCTGAGCATCCAAGCTTGCCAGCCGACCCCTTTCCCATGGCTTTTCTTCATGGATTTTGTTTGTCGAAGGATCGGCCTGTGACCGTGGATAAAAAGAGATGCATCCGTGCTTGTGCTTCTAGAATGCAGCGTCTACTTCCTACCTTAAGCCCCCTAAACCCTAAACCCTAAACCCTTACCCTAATCTGCGGATTCATCAAGTAAGACCATCGAGGTTTCCTCCTGCGTGACTCACGGCCAATCGCGCAGTCACGAGCAGATTTCGAGCAGCTGGAGCAGGCTCGCTTCGGCTTCCGGGCATTCTTCCCTTTAAGGTTGACGGCGTTATTCGAAAGCATGTTTTTTGGCGTAAGGCTTACCTTCAACCTCCTAAACCCTAAACCCTAAACCCTAAGCCCTAAGCCCTACTTGGAGGATCATGGGACTTAGTAAGTAGAGTTATAAAAGTACCTTAATTGGGGTTATAAGTAATTATAAGTATAGTTACCCTAATTATAACCCCAGTTACTAAGTCCCATGATCCTTTAAGTAAACGTCACTTCAATTGCAGGTTCATGGGCGAGGGCTTGTTTTTGGGGCATCACAGGGCCTCGAAGTCCGAACCTGCAATAAACACCCTAAAGCCTAAACCCTAAACGTTAAGCCCTAAACCTTAAGCCCTAAACCAAGCGGTGAACCTAGCCGCCGAGATTCCCTAAACTCCAAGTCCTCTAGCAAAGTGTCTCATCGAGGATGGTAGGATCGTATTTCACGGGTACTACACCCTAAGGACCTTGAATTGTTGTTAGTTTTCGCTTGCGTTTCGAAATGGGTGCACGAAAACGGACCTGCACGTTCAGAAGAGCTTGAAATTCCCAGGACCTGTGAGCGCAAACAGCCGTGCCGATTGTTTTCGCTATAATGAGGAGCCTTAAGGCAGACGATTGGTCAGGCTTCTATGTTTTGGTTGCGATACCTTGCTTCTACCATAATGAAGGTCTCAAGAATTGGCTATGGCATCCCATCTATATAATGATCTGCATCAGAACAGTATAGGACCCGATAGCTAAAACGAGCTGCTCATTGAACTTGAGAGGTTTTTGGAAAGCTGTCTGGCGAGACAAAGGCCATCCAGAAAGGCACAGACGGGGACAGGTCTCCTTGCTTGGAAGTGGGGGGTACTTGGAGGCCCAGGGGACTCAGTAAGTAGGTTCTGAGTAGGGTTAAAGTTGGGGTAACTCCATCTAGCGTACTTATTTATAACCTACTTACTAGGTCCCCTGGGCCTCTAAGTAAGGTATCTTTTTTCTCTTGATAGGGCTTTGCAGCGCTCAAAGAACAAATGGGTGTAATGGAATTTTGGAGGTTCTTGGTTTAGGGTTCAATAGCAGCTGTACATACTTGCTGCTGTTGCTGCGGAACGGGGCTCCAGATGCATTTCGGTCGGACTCTCAAGCCTTAACCCCAAACCCTCAACCCCTCATCAAGCCCTCCACTTAAAGGGTCATGGGACTTACTAACTAGGGTTATAAATTAGGTAACTATACTTATCAATACTTATTACCCCAATCAAGGTACTTACAACCTTACTTACTAAGTCCCTTGATCCTTAAGCAGAACTTAAAGCCTAAACCCATAAAGATCCATTTAAGAAATCCCTTAAGGAACCCGTGAAGTTACTAAGTCCCACGATCCTCCAAGTAAACCCTAAACTTATAGTATCCTTAAGGGAGGGGGGTCCAAGGGGGGTATATAGCCTAGTGATCCCTAATTCTCCCTAGTATTCCCTAAGGTTCCCTTACAGTCCCCTAAGGATTCCTTATACCCTCCCCCCTTGAACCACCCTCCCTTAAGGATCCTATAACTAAACCCCCTGTCTGACCCCAAGCCCGAACTCCGCAAGCCTTAAACCCCTACTTGAAGGGTCGAATGACCTGCGGTTGATGATATAAATCCTGCATGACCTTAAGGAGCCTAGACTATGGGAATTATGGTATATTCCTTATTATGGGTAATGCAGGATTTAGATCATCAACCGTAGTAAGTAGGTAATAGATAGGCATATAAGTGCCCTGAAGAGGGTCCCAATCTCCCGACCAACTATTGCTGGGCTCCTTCGCGGCCTTTTTTTTGTGTAGGCTTGAACGGCTTTTTAGCTTCGAACACGTAGGGGTTCAGGAGAGTGGGGTTGAATGTTCTGAGATTTAGCGGTTTAGGCTTCTGATTTCTTTTATCTTTTTTTAAGATTTGCGCCTCAGTACTTTGGCAACACTCTAGGCCCTCCACCCTAAGCCGAAACCCGAAACCCTAAACCGAAACCCAAAATCCTTTGCCGAATCCGGCATCAGGTGGCGAGCAGATCGTCAAGGGCCCGCTGATGCCGCTGACGAAGACAGCAGCCTTGTCCAACATCTTCCGTCCTTCTGTCATAGGAGGCCAAAAGGGGTTTTAGCCTATGGGGGTTTAGTAGGGATTAGGGTTCCCAGAATAGGAACAGGGCTCATATTGAGGAATCCCTACCCCAAGAATCTTAAATCACCCTTTTGGCCTTCCGTCCTTCTGTTGGCCTAACGGGGTTTAGGATCTAGGCTTCAGGTTTTAGGGTTGAGGGCAGCAGCATCTGTTGGCCATCTTCTATCCTTTTGTTGGGCGAATTATTGAGTTAAGGGTTTGGTGTTTAGGGTATATTCCGTCCTCTGGGCTAAATGGGTTTGGGGTTGGGGTTTATGCTGCGGTCTGCAGCTTACTACCTGTAGTTGGTTCTATGACAGGGCCACCATAATTGGGCTGCTACAAGGTCTACTATTCTGTGGCTATTGTAGGGGTTCTTCAAGGGTCTCTTTTTCTTTCGGGGGCGAGACTGTACCTCGCGTCTAAGGCTGAGATTCAAGGTTAGCTTGACCCTAACACCTGAAACCCACGCCCAGTGCTGCCCGGTACACGTACTGAGCCCTCAGCTAGGCATGTTGCACCAGTAAGCGGCTTTGGAGTACCCTAAACCAATTTTGAACATGTCCTCAGATCCTACACCCATAGCCCATAGCCCAAACTCCTGAATCCTGATCTTACATCCTAAACCCTGCAACCCCACGTTCTTTTTTTGTATAGTGTCTGAAGATTTTGGTCCGTCTGTAAGTATACCTTCACGTAATTCAAGGGACTCTGTGAAGGCACCCTCTTTGTGATGGTTATGCCCAGAGACTCCCGAACCCCAGCAAGGAACATTCCCTAAGTTATATGGGTGGTTGTCAAAATTAGGGTCCCTTTTTTTTTGGGTCCCCATTATAATACGGCACCTAATCTTTAGGGTACCCAAAAGGGGCCATAATTTTGACAACTACCCATACATAGGAACCCGAATAGGGCTTAAGGTATATTCCTTGATTAATCGGTATTGGAGTCTCTGGGCACTACGTACCAACCCCAAAGCCGTACTCTAAATTGTGTCCAAGGGTGAAAGGAGGGACCCTCATTTAGGACCCCTAGGTATATACCCTTAATATAGCTATTATATACCCATTATACAGCCCATTATAGGGTAGGGGTCCCCCCTTTGATTTTGAGGGCCCGAGTGTACCCGCGGAGCTGGAACCACTGTGTGCTTCGGTTGATGATATAAATCCTGCTTGACCCTAAGGACCCTAAACTATGGGAATAATGGTATATTCCCTATTATGGGTACTGCAGGATTTATATCATCAACCGAACCACTGTGTGCTTGTACATGCACAGACGAGGAGATGGCCCACTACTTGGAGGATCATGGGGCTTAGTAAGTAAGGTTATAAGTACTTTAAGTTGGGCTATGAGGAAATATAAGTATAGTGAACTTAATTATAGCCCTAGTTACTAAATCCCATGACCCTTTAAGTACCTTATGCCCCAAAGTCCTCTTTGATTCTTAAGGCACACAAACTGCGCAATTCAATAGCCCGAGATCCCTAAACCCCAAACTCCTCGAACCCTCTAACCCTTAAAGCCTCAACCCTAAAACCTAAGCCCAACCCCTAAACCCTAAACCCAGGTATCTTTGCTCTTCGAAGTTTCCAGCCGGCCATGCGCACAGAGACCTCAGGGCTCAGGGCTTTCGGGGGGTTAAGGGAGCTTAGGGCTTGCAGGGTTTCGGGCTAGGGGTATAGAATATAGGGTTTAGGGCTTTAGGGTTTGAGGGTAAGGGTTCGGGGGTGTAAAATATAGGGATATAGGGCATGGGCGTGGGAGCTTGAGGTTTAGAGCTGTTGCTTGTTTGGTGCGAGCCGCAGCTTGATATGTTTGCGGTTCGTCTCTTTGTTTTGCTGTGTCGTCCTGTTCTTGCGCTTTTTGCTGCTAGCTAAGCCCTAAACCCTGGTATCCGTGGGCTTGTCGATGTTTACTTGTTCTGCTGCTGCTGCCGCGATGGTTGTGGTGGGTCTCGGGACTTGGAACAAGGTTCGAGGTGGTATTTACATGAAGACTCACGGGAAGTCGGAGGGTTGCAGCTAATGTAGGACCCTAACTAAATACCAATACTATTTTGGGGGTTCCTTTATGATAATTATGGTCCAATATACGCCCAAAATCCTGTTCTAACGATCAAGGCCCCTATACTATAGTACCCTTAAAGATCCTTCACATGAAGATTCATGGGAAGGCGGAGGGTTGCACTTACTCTGAACTCTACACTCTTCACATGGTTTGCGCTTGGAGGATCCATGGGACTTAGTAACTCAAAGGGTTCCTTAA